TATAGTATACTACCCCTTAAATAACACAAAATTGCACTAAGCCATACTTGGAGAGGGATTCGACATTTTGACATCTTAAATTTAGTCAAAAGATTATTATCATAATTTATTGATAATAGCAATCCTTCTGGGATTGATAATAATTCAATTTTGAATTAGCAACTAGTCAATTTCATACGAAAGTCATGTTGCATGCATGAAAAAAAATTTCCATAAATAAGCATGCAAACTAAGAGGAGTAACTCCGAGAAGTAAACTTCCTCCGGAAAATAAAGTTCCAGAAAGTAAAAAACATTCGAAAAGTAAAATTTCAAGAAGTAAGATTAGAAAGTTAAGCTTATAGAAGTAAACTTTTCGAATAGTCACTTCGAGTAGTAAAATTAGTAGGGAAAAAGTGAAAAATAGCAAAGTAAAATCACTTTGCATTCATAATAATTTGCATCAAAAAATAACTTTGCGCTCAAAAACAATTTTGGAGTATATGTATACTTCTCGACCATGCAATAAATATTGCGGTCATGAATTAACTTTTCGGGTGCTTCAGGCATAAACTAACTTCTCGGATGCTTCAAGCATGAGCTAACTTCTCGGATGTTTCATGCTTCTGGCAAGAACTAACTTTTTCAACCATGAGTACATTTTCATGCATTGTTCAAAACATTATCATGACACCAACCATTTCTTCATAATACCTCGTCATCATTTCATTATCATCATTTATCGTTGTATTTGCTTCAGGCAAATTAGCTAGAATCATCAAGATGAGACGCATTCTTCGACGACCAAATGCTTTGGTGTGCAACACGTAGGGATAAATTCCCTTCACACCCACATTGATAGCAAACCTGCTTCTGGCTAGAATTTTGCCTCGATGGGTTTGGTCGTCCTTGAATATCTTGATAACTTTGTTTTTTTTTTTTTTTTTTTATTCTGAGCTCGAAACTCATACCACATCGATTATAATCTCGACTGCAACCCCTTATAAAGTTACTCAACTAGGTAACATTATGTGCTTCAAGCACATGTGAAAATCAACCAGGCATGCACTTTTGATTCTTCATCAACAACTAATTATGTTTCTTAGCCACAAGGAGTGCTAAAAATAGCTTAGGATGCTTCTCATAATTTGTTGTCTTGTACTATTGCTGGAGTACAAATTACTCGCATGAAATGTTGGCAATGTCTTTTCAATTAAATATTTTCCCAAAACTTCTTGTTTAGAGTTTCACTTGCGAGACTATTTTGTACACAGTTGAATTATAGTTAATCATATCACTAACTTACATTATAATCTCAAAATTAAACATGAGATAAACTAGTCAAAATGTGTCCGAGGAAGAATATTTGATGACTTCTAGTCAGAATAGTCTTTCAGGGACTTCCATTAATTCAAGGGGTTCTTTTTCAATCAGATACTCATTTTTAAGATCGTGGTTCAAGTTGTGACGTATGAAAAAGAGAGCTTGTGCCTTCTAGGCATCGGTGCTATGTGACTTAGCAACAAGAAACTTGGCTCAATTCTTTAGATGCCGAATATATTTCAATATCTAGATCCCAAGCTAAATAATTGCTTCATTCATACGCGGGCTCAATAAATTCACATTTGGCAATGGAAGACATGATCTACCAGATCATTATTTTCATGCAACTTTACGAAGCAGTGTGTGACAATATTAGGAAAAACACTACTTGAAATACATGTTCAAACAATAGATGAAAAAACACAATTTACATTATTGCATAGAAAGTTAATACGGAGTATTTCTAAAAGGAAAGGCACACTCTTCAAAGAGAAGAGAAACATCATATAGTTGCATAAGAAATTCATCCTTTTCCCCCACAGGTACACAACTCCATTAATCACATAACTCAATTTATTCTTTATTGCTTCAGCTAGAAATTCATATCTCAATTGTACAATAACAATCTTTCCTTTGAAGGTAGGTAAACTATTTCGATTGGTATAATAAAAACCAAAAGCCAATTAGATATGTAGAATAAACAAAATAAGAAAAGCCAAACACTTTCTAAATCCACTCCATTAACGATTTATAGATAGAGCTACTAATATTCATAAATTGGGGAAAATACTCATTAAGCTAAAACAAGGATTGAAAGTTCCAATTCATACTCAAAAACATCTATATAAATGATCATTATGCACAAACAAAATCCTAGATTCCATAATAAAATGGACAAGATACCAAGCATACTGTTTACCGGAGATTATGATGGAGACTCGTGCTGATAACGTGTTGTAATTCGGCATATCAACTCGTTGGTTCTCGCGTGATGTTTGCACGGTAATGCTGGGAGATTGTATGTATACAAGTATATAGAATAGATAAGTAAAAGGGAGAGGAAGAACACAATGTATAGAACACAATAACATAAGACCATCTTTTCATTAAGCCTTCACCCTCAATTTATAGGGATGATTACAACCTTTCACATCCTTTAACATAAGTAATGAAATAAGTAAAGGCTAACAAAAGGTCACAAGTTTAATGGCCATAATAATAAAATATTTATAACAACCATTATTTTTTTTTTGAACCTACTAACTCTATTACATTGTAGTACGTATATGTTCATCTATACTTTCTCAACCTGTTGAAGCACAAAGAATCAATATCGCAAATTGTTTGTCCTTAAACGAGGGAAGTGAAAAATCAAGATCGGGTAGGTCTGGGGTAGTTGGATTAAACAAAAGTCTCTCCTTTTCAGTAATAAATGCCCCACATATAAAAGAAGGGGACACATGCCGAAGATTCGGCATGTCTTCCATGCGGAAGGTATAGGTTGATCGATAGAGAGGTGGTGTCAAGTGTTTCAATACAAGGGAAAAGATAGACGAGACGTAAATGTTAGTTTCTAGGTCAGGCTGACCAGACGTTGGAGAATGGTATACAAAAAAAATGTATGTATATATATATATATATATATATATATAGGGAAGGGATCAGGTGCATTTGTGGCTTCCCGTGCGGTTGTGCGGTGGATTAATGTGCGTGAAAGTGTAAAATGCAGCAGAAAATATTGATGTCAGCTTCTTCCCCATCCCCAGTAGCCATTGCCCCCTCCCTGATGATGTTGATGCGGAGGCGGGCTATGGTGGTTAAGAATTATGGGAATAATACAACAGAAATCCACACTTAGCTGCTGTGTAAATTTTACTGTGCGTGCGTCATCTATATAAACATTCAACTGCACTGAAGGTAGCTGATAATCCCGAATCCATGGCCAAATTGAAGGAATAAGTAACAAGAAGCTTGGGCGTTAATGTGCGTGAGTTTCTGTTCTACTTCCTTCTGAGCTCGTAATTCTGAAATACTCACGCACATTAAACACAATACTCAGGCACATTAAGTACAAAACTCACGCATATTAACATAACGCACATTAAGTACAAATCTCAGACACATTGAGTATAAATCTCAAGCACATTAAGTATAAACCTTACGCTCATTAATCCACCGCACAACTGCACGGGAAGCCTCAAATGTACCTGATCACTTCCCTATATATATATATATATATATATATATATATATATATATATAATAGTAAGTAAGTATATGTTAAATCCTCCACATACCAACTTACAAAGTAAATTCATTCTACTACTAAATTTTTTGTTACGTGATTAAATTTAATATTCTTTTGAATATTTTTTTCTCTAAAAAGAAAAAAATATCGAATTTTATTAAATTTTATTTCTAAATTGAACCCCCAAAAAAATTAGTGCAAAACAATAAAAAAAAATGTTCTCTACACTTCGCAACCACTCTCATTGAAACTCTTTATTGCATCTCATTTTTAATATTCAATATTAAAAATGGCGTTCACATGGAGAAATTTAAACTTTAACAATGAATACTAATTCTAAGGGATAAAAATAACCTCATAAAAATATTTTACTAATAAAATTTGACAATTATATATCACTAAGGACTAAAAATGAAACATTATAAAGAATTAAACGATTAAATTTATTTAAATTAACTTATAAGGGTCAAATTTTTATAAACGAAATAATTTAAGGGTCAAAAATATTGTTTTTCCTACTTGTAATGTATTTAACTCTTTACCAATTAAATGTTGTTGACAAAAAAATCATTGATACCTTCTTTTTTTTTTTTTTTTTTTTTTTTTTTTTTTTTCATGTGTGAATTGAAAACGTATGATAATCAATGCAATTTCGAATTCCATAGATTTCTTACTAAAATTAATTCTACCTTCACACCTTCTATCATTGCCCCTCTCTAGATTTAAATTCCCTATATAATATAGGCAAAATTTTGACCACAGATCGAATCGTCAATTAATGAAGTTAATGTCCCGTCTTATTAATTAAAAAATTTAACTTATTAATTAAATATTCGACTCGTTTCACGGATTGATACCTGTGAGACAGGCTCACACAAGTATTACCTCTAATATATATATATATATATATATATATATATATATATATATAAATCTTTGACTTTGAGAATGGAGCAGTCTTAAAGGCCAGCTGTCCTATCCAAAAATGTGTTTACAATTCAACGAGTGAATTAATTATTAGGCCAGCTGTCTCATCTAAAGAGGTGCTTACAATTCGGCGAGAAGATTAATTAGTGTGTTTGACTATGGAAAGTCTAGGTATACCAAAAAAAAAAAGATATAAAAAAAAAAAAAAAAAAAAAAAAAAAAAAAAAAGGGACAGAAATAGACAGTAAAATTTATTTCCAAAAGAAAAGATTTTGGGATACAGAAATAGACAGTAAAATGTACAAGACTACAAGGCAACTGGGCAGTATAAAAGCCACCTTTACCGCTGACTCGAAACACTCAGTAGCAACCATTCTCGTTTTCAAACTGTTTTCTTGCTTCGAGCTCTAGCCATAATTATATGTCATAGAAACCTTCGAATTTGAGATTGTCTCTCTCTTGTGTTTTCTTGTTTCGAGCTCTAGCCGTACAAGCATAAGAGCTTTGTGTTTTCTCTTTCTTGAATGGAAACCCCTGATCGTACTACGGACAGTCAGGAGTCGACATCTTCGTACCCACCGCCTATGATGTCCAGTTTCGCTCCGGGTAGTTACTATCAGCAGCAGAGGACACCCCGCCGGGATGCTCCACCGGAGCCGAGCCCTTCAACGAAGCCGGCGAGTTTTGTAATTAACCTCGGTTCGAGTAAGCAGAAGCTGACGGACTTAGAATTATACCAAGTCGTGAGGAAATTGCCGAAGCAGCCACAGAGCTATTCTCTATGCGACAGCGGTGGCTGTGCGGCGACGCTCTGTTATGAGCGGTGGTCGGAGACGCTTGAGGTTATGGAGCATTTGTGGCGAACCAGGCTGGCCGGGAAGCTTTTGTTCTCGCCGGTGCTGATACGGAATGTGGACTTGCCATCCGACAAGGTGGAGTTGGAGAATCGGCTCAAACCCATGTTTTATCAGAGAGTGAGGGAGTTAATAGACGGCGAGTTAGTTAAAAACTCCCGGAAGAAGTTGACGGAAGTAATGGCGGTGGCAAATGCCGTGTCGGTTCAGCTTCGAAAGCTGAAATCTTTAGCTCTGTTGAAGAAGAAAGAGGCTTTGTTGGCCGAGCTGGAGTTGATAAGAGAAAGGACCGAGGAGTTCAGGCAAGGAATAAGGTGTGTGAAGTGTCATCTTAAGCCGCCATGTCCAGAAGATATTGATGACTCTGAGGAGACTGTATTGAAGCTGGAGGGAGATTTCAATTGGGACCGCTTACATTCTCTAATGATGAGGGAGTGTAAAAGGCTCAAAGATGGGTTGCCCATTTTCTCTTTCCGCAACCAAATTCTCAGGGAAATTCGTCGTCACCAGGTAATTACTGCTTTAATTCTTCAACCCCATGATTATCTTTACACCATTTTAGCAATATATTGAAGGCTTTTGATTATTTACTATTTTGATTAGATCATTGATGTTGATTGATAGCTGCATTATATGCTTTCTAAAATATGATTCTTTAGTGTGGGGTTTTCTCCCACATAATAAAGTTTGCAGTTTTGGAAAAGATTTACTATTGTGTGGGCATAGATTCTCAGTCAATCTCCAAATCTTCCCCACATGTAGTGTGTAGTCCTTAATAATGTTCAGTTCAAACATTGCTTCCTTACAATTGAAATGATATATTTTTGTTTAACGATTTCAGGTCACTGTATTGACTGGGGAGACGGGTTCCGGGAAGAGTACTCAATTGGTTCAGTTCTTAGCTGATTCAGGAATTGGCGGAAATGGTGCCATAGTATGCACACAGCCCAGGAAACTGGCTGCCGTCTCTTTGGCAAAGAGGGTTAATCTGGAATGTGTTGGGTGTTATGAGGATGATTCGATTATCTGTCACCCGTCATATTCATCCAGTTCCCGGTTTGATGCAGGGACGATAATCTTTATGACGGACCACTGCCTGCTGCAGCATTACATGAGTGACAACGATTTGTCCAAGATATCGTGCATTATAGTTGATGAAGCACATGAAAGAAGCCTAAACACTGATCTTCTTCTAGCATTGATGAAAGGTTTGCTTCATCGGAGGCCTGATATGAGGGTCATCATTATGTCTGCCACAGCTGATGCAGATCAGCTTTCAAATTACTTCGTTGGGTGTGGAACGTTTCATGTGATTGGTAGGAGTTTTCCAGTTGACATTAAATATGTTCCTTTTGAATCTGAAGGTTGTTCTGGTGTGGTTGCTCCTTATGTTTCAAATGTTGTCAAGATGGTGGGAGATATCCATAATAATACCCATAGAGATGGAGCGATTCTTGCATTCTTGACTTCTCAAATGGAAGTAGAATGGGCTTGTGAGAATTTCCAGTCGCCCTCTGCCATTGTTTTGCCTTTACATGGAAAACTCTCCAATCAAGACCAGCATAAAATTTTTCTGGATTTCCCAGGAATGAGAAAGGTCATATTCGCTACAAATGTTGCTGAGACATCTTTGACGATTCCCGGGGTCAAATATGTTGTTGATTCTGGGTTGGTGAAAGAGAAAAGGTTTGAGCCTGGAAGCGGAATGAATGTTTTGAGGGTTTGCAAGACGAGTCAAAGTTCTGCAAATCAACGAGCTGGGCGAGCTGGGAGAACTGAGCCTGGAAGGTGCTATAGACTCTTCTCGGAAACTGATTTCGAGACTATGCCTTGCCATCAAGAACCCGAAATTCGCAAAGTTCATCTCGGTATTGCATTGCTGAGGATTCTTGCCTTTGGCATAAAAGATGTGCAGAGTTTCGATTTTATTGATGCACCTAGCCCAAAAGCTATTGAGACGACTATCCAAAGTCTGATTCAGTTAGGAGCCATTGCTCAAATTGACGACGGCTATGAATTAACTGCAGAAGGACTACATATAGTGAAGTTGGGTATCGAGCCTGGGCTCGGGAAAATGCTCCTTGATTGCTTCCAACATGAATTGGGTAAAGAGGGTCTCGCCCTAGCTGCTGTTATGGCTAATTACAGCACCATTTTCTGCAGAGTTGGCACTGAAGAAGAGAAACTAAAATCCGATCGCTATAAGGTGCAATTTTGCCATCCCTTTGGCGATCTGTTCACTTTACTCTCTGTGTACAAGGAATGGGAAGCGGTGCCTCTTCAAAAGAGAAGTGGATGGTGCTGGGATAATAGTGTCAACGCCAAAACTATGAGGAGATGCCGGGAGACTGTGCAAGAATTGGAAGCATGCCTTCGGAATGAACTGAGAATTGACACTCCAAGTATCTGGCTTTGGAATCCCCAAGTGCATAGTGAACATGATGATACGTTAAAACGTATAATTCTGGCATCCCTTTCTGAGAATGTGGCAATGTACTCTGGGTATGACCAGCTTGGCTATGAAGTGGCACTCACCGGGAAGTATTTCCAGTTGCATCCTTCATGTTCGTTGTTGAGTTTCTGTCAAAGACCGACATGGATAATTTTCAGTGAAGTTTTGGTGGCAGCTAAAGAGTATCTGGTTTGCGCTACTGCATTTGACTTCAGCTCTCTAGCCACCCTTCAACCACCTCCATCGTTTGACTTTTCGAAGATGGACGCTCGAAGGCTACAGAAGAAGGTTTTGACGGGGTTTGGAAGCCTATTAATGAAGAAGTTCTGCGGGAGATCTAACTGTAGTCTCAATCATCTTGTTTCTCAAATCAGACTATCGTGTTTGGATGAACGCATTGGCATTGAGTTGAGGTTTGATCGCAACGAGATTATAGTGAATGCTTCTTCCGGAGACATGGAGAGGGTTTTAGCGGCGGTGAATGAAGCATTGGAGCACGAGAGGAAGTTATTGAGAAATGAATGTTTGGAGAAATGCTTGCACAATGCAGGACCTGGTTCTTCTTCAGCTTCTATTGCTCTTTTCGGAGCTGGTGCTGAGATAAAGCATTTGGAGCTCGAGAAGAGATGTTTGACGGTTGACATATTTCGTTCAATTGGAAATGCGGTTGATGATAAGGAGTTGGTGATGTTTCTGGAGAGGAACTGTGGTGACATATGTACGATCTTCAAGTTCTCGGGCATAAGGCAAGAGAGGGAGGAGATGGAAAAATGGGGCAGGGTAACATTTCTCACCCCCGAGGCTGCTAATCTCGCTACCGCCTTAAACTTGGTTAAATTTAATGGTGGGTTACTGAAATTTGTTCCTTCCAAGGGCGGTGATAAACTGTTCTCATGTCCTTTCCTTAGAGCAAAGGTTTATTGGCCTCGTCGGGCCAGTAGAGGGAAAGCTATTCTGAAATGTGATCCCAACGATGTTTCTCTTGTTGCTGATGACCTTTCTTATCTAGAAATAGGAGGAAAATTCGTTTGGTGTGAGCCAAGCACTTGGTCCTCCGACCGGGTTGTTATTACTGGAATTGACAAGGACATATCCGAAACTGAGATCTCCAAGGCCATAAATGAACTGACTGAGAGAAAAATCCTGAGTTTGTTCATCGTCAGAGGAACTCCAGTAGAAAACCCTCCACTCCTTGCTTGTGAGGAAGCGTTGTTGAGAGAAATATCCTCCTTGATGCCCAAGAGGATTCATCTTTCCGCCCAGGTCTTCCAACCCGAACCTAAAGATAATTACATGAGGGCTGTTATTACATTCGACGGAAATCACCATCTCGAAGCTGCAAAGGCCTTAGAAGAATTGGATGGGAAGGTGTTGCTTGGATTTCTCCCATGGCAGAAGATAAAATGCCAGCAGATATTCCAAAGCACCGTTTCTTGTCCTCCTGCTGCCTATCATGCGATCCAGACGGAGTTGAATGCCTTAGTAGAAAGACTCAACAAGAATCATAAAGGTATAGTATTCTTTCTCTTTCTAATTATATCTGTATCATTATTAGAAGTCTGGCATTAAATGTTTTTTAAACTTGATTAGAAAAGGAAACTGGCCAAAAAAGTACTTCTCATTATTCAGTTGCATGGTTTAGTTTATGTTCATTTATCTCGATTGCTTTGGGCTTTAATTGTGCAGGTGTTGATTGCCGTCTTGAACGAAATAACAATGGTCCCTATAGGGTTAAGATATCTGCCAATGCTACAAAAACAGTGGTAGAAGTGAGAAAACGTTTGGAGGAGCTTATGAAAGGGAAGGTGATGGAACATGAGGGCGTTACTCCCACAGTTCTGCAACTTCTGTTTTCTCGGGAAGGCATCGATCTTATGAGGTCGATTCAATGGGAGACAGGAACCTATATTATGTTTGACAGGCATAACCTCGTTGTGAGAATGTTTGGTTCTTCGAACAAGGTTGATTTGGCACAGCAGAAATTCGTGGGCTCACTCCTTGCATTACATGAGAGCAAGCAACTTGTGGTGCGTCTTCGAGGTGAAGGTTTGCCTCCTGATATGATGAAGAGAGTGGTTGATACGTTTGGCCCGGACCTTAAAGGGCTTAAAGAGAGGTTTCCTGTGGGGGAGTTCTACCTAAACACCCGACACCATTGTGTTCGTGTCAAAGGTGGTACTAAAGACCTGTGCCAAAGAGTTGAGAATGCCATATACGAGATTGCCCGGGCTAGTGGCTCACATGTTCAAAGGAACGACAACGAGGCAAGCTGCCCAATCTGCTTGTGTGAATTCGAGGAACGTTACGTGCTCGAAAGCTGTCTCCACGCCTTCTGTCGATCGTGCTTGTTGGAGCAGTGCGAGTCAGCAATCAGAAGCAGTGATGGCTTCCCATTGCGGTGTTTGCACAATGGCTGCAATGCTCCTATCCTTATCCCAGACATAAAGTCTTTGTTGCCAGTCGAGAAGCTGGACGAGCTCTTCAGGGCCTCGGTTTCAGCTTTCGTGGCAAGCAACGCCTCGTACAGGTTCTGCCCTTCACACGACTGCCCTTCCTTTTACCATATCACAGACTCGGATTCTCCCTCGGGGTCAGCATTCGTGTGTGGAGTGTGCTACACGGAGACATGTACTAGATGCCACCAAGAGTATCATCCATACCTCTCGTGCAAAAAGTACAAGGAGTTCAAAGACGATCCAGACTCGTCGTTGAAGGAGTGGGCCGAGGGGAAGGAGAACGTGAAGGCGTGCCCGGTTTGTAAGTGCACCATTGAGAAAGTGGATGGGTGCAACCACATCGAATGCCGGTGTGGGAAACATGTTTGCTGGGTTTGCTTGGAGTTCTATGAAGCCAGTAATGAATGCTATAACCATTTGAGGTCTGTTCATTTGAGCATTAATGCATAACTTGAATCATGGTTAAGTTAGCTCTCTGTAAATCTCTTGTAAATTAGACATATATCTATACAATTCAATCATACACCCCTCCCCTAGCTAAGCAGTAGGGGAAATCAGAAATGCAATTGATATCATCTTTTCTCCATCTCTGTGTCTTTACAAAAATGTGCTGATTGAGATATTATATGATATATTTCATCTTTACATATACAGGTTATAAATAAAAGTAAGTAATTAGATTAAATGAATTCACAATAAAAAAAGGCTAAGCTCACACCAGCAATTCCCATACAGAAAGCCATTGCCACAAACCATGTGGAGCTAATGTTGTGATCATCAATTTCCTCTCTTGTGTTACTCTGTTTTTCCATCTGGGAAACTTGGAGCTCAAGCAATCTAACCCAGTTCCGGCAAGCGAGCAACCGGAGAGATTCTTTCAGCAGAAGATTCGACAGTGCGTCTGTTTCTTTGGACAAGACTTGATATTTCCTCTCCGCCTCCCTCGCCCGGGTCTGCGATAGTCTCAGGGCCTTCAGAAGCTCTAGCTTCTCGTTATGATCTTCCACCGGCGGCGGCGGGGACACCCCGGAAAACACCTTGAGCGGCGGAGGTAAATCGCAGTTCTGCATGAGCTCAAGACCGGATTTTTGACCCAGAAACGTGAAACCCAAAGCTATCTCATCCTTGTTTGACCAGGCGGCGGCAGGCCCAGGGCTGAGCTTCTGGTTTGCCATGATCCAGCTTGCCATTCACGTTGTTCTCCTGTTTAATACGCAGAAGAATATGGGGGTGGGTGGAGGTTGAAGAACGGATAGTGGTTAGGTTGGAGTTATCAAGAGGTTCAAGGAAGTGGGAGATAGCGCCATAGTTTATGCAAGAAAGTAACCAGTTTGATTCAGATTTCTCTTTTGTTTTTTGGAATAAGGAAATAAAAATTCTTTGGTTTTGTGTGTAAGCAAAGATAAACCATTTAGATAATTTTGTTAAAAAGAGTAGGTTGATTGTATCCAAAGGAAACTGCGCCTACCATCCTTCCGTCAAAGCAAAATTTTCAACCTCTACACCTTAAAATAACATAATTAGTCTTTTAAGTATTAAAAGTTCTTTCGTCAGCGCTAAAATGGTGATTTTAAAACTAAAAGTGAAGACATTTTTAATAATTGGTGGTCTAATCTGTTTGGTTTTGGCCAAGCACCTTGTGTGCAGATGATACCTTTGTTGTTCTTCTTGACTCTTTGGTATGCAATAGTTAGAGAAAGTATAGAATAAATAGTACATTGTAATAGAGTCAATAGTACTAAAAAAAAAAAAATCTGTTTGATTTTGAATTTGAGGACTAAAAGTTGAACAATACAATAATCAAGTGATTAAAATTAGTTTGCCATGTATCCTGACATGGCACCGGGACCGGATGGAATGGATCCGGGATTTTATCAGCGTTTTTGGGATATAGTTGGAGAGGATGTGTCTGCTTTTGTTGTTAATTGTTTGAATTCAGGCGAAGTTCCGAGTGATTTGAATGCTACCAATATTATATTGATCCCGAAAAAGAATGATCCTACAACTGTGGCGGATTTGAGGCCTATTGCCCTGAGCAATGTCTTGTATAGGATTATGGCAAAAATGATTGTCAACAGGTTGAAACCTATGTTGGGGGATCTAATCTCAGAATCCCAGAGTGCCTTCATCCCAGGTAGGCTTATAACGGATAATATACTTGTGGCGGCGGAGGTGGGTCACTTTTTGAATCGTAAACAATGTGGAATGGCTGGGTGGGGAGCGCTTAAACTGGATATGGCGAAAGCCTATGATAGAATGGAGTGGCCATTCTTGAAAAGGATGTTGGAGGTAATGGGCTTTGATGAAAGGTGGATTAAGCTGATAATGACATGTGTTACCACTGTATCATACAGTGTTATGGTGAATGGCGTGAGTGGAGGCCAGGTGCAACCAACAAGGGGTCTCAGACAGGGAGATCCACTTTCACCTTTCTTATTTATTATTTGTGCTGAAGGTTTATCCATGCTATTACAGAAGGAGCAGGCAGTAGGATCTATTCACGGTTGTAGAGTGGCTAGGGGAGCCCCCAATATCACACCTCTTTTTTGCTGATGATAGTTTGTTGTTCTTTAAAGCAAATGTCCAGGAAGCTATGGTGGTCAAGCAGTGTTTGGAAAGGTATGGGGAGTTATCTGGTCAGTTGGTGAACTATCATAAGTCTAATATATGCTATAGTAAGAATACTGGGGAACAGATGAGAGAGGAAGTAGCGGACTGTCGGGGCGAGGAACTTTGGAAAATATCTGGGGCTACCCTCTTTTATAGGGAGAAATAAAAGGGTTGTTTTCTCTTATATAGAAGATAAAATCAGACAAAGAGTTTTCTCGTGGAACAAGAAATTGTTATCACAGGCTGGTAAAGAAGTGCTCTTGAAAAGTGTGGCTCAGTCTATGCCCACATTTTCAATGAGTGTTTTTTTGCTCCCTGAATCAGTTTGCGAGTCAATACAAAGAGCCATGAATAGGTATTGGTGGGGGAAAGGGACAGACAGAGGAATCCACTGGAAAGCATGGAATAAATTGTGTATCCCTAAAAAGTTTGGTGGATTGGGGTTTAAAGATCTGAGGAATTTTAATCTTGCGATGTTTGGTAAACAGGCATGGCGTTTCTTAACAAACCCGGGATCTCTGGCAGCACGAATATATAAAGCAAGATATTACCCTCAAACTTCTTTTGTTGATGCAACGGTGGGAAATAATCCCAGTTTTTGTTGGCGAAGTATTATGGCTGCTCATGATTTTGTTATTGCACACGTCCGTAGGAGAATTGGAAATGGCCATGAAACTTTGATATGGGGTCATCCGTGGTTGCAGGATAATCCTAGTCCACTTGTTCAAACAGTGATGCCTGAACCATTAAGGGATGCAGTTGTGGCAGGATTAATAGATCAGCAAACGAAAACATGGGACCCCCATATTTTAACGGATCTATTTGAATCTGAGGATGTGGATCGTATTTTGAAAATACCTGTAAGCCCAGACTATAGAGACACATGGTATTGGCATAATGACCCGAATGGTTGCTACACTGTAAAGGATGCTTATAGGCGTCTAATGGGGGAGTTTAGTCACACTTTGGGAGAGTTTGATAGATGGATTACATTGTGGAAGTTGAAAGTCCCACCCAAGTGGAAAACTTTTATATGGAGAACGGTGTGTGATATACTCCCAACCACAACAAATTTGATTATAAAGAGGGTAGATGTGAACCCAACATGCATGTTATGTGGTCTTACAAATGAGAATGTTATGCACTCATTAGTTTTATGTGATTATTCTAGAGCCGTATGGAATATTTCGAGGTTGCCTATTATGAATGTTTTTTCTACGTCTTTCCCGAACTGGCTTATGACTGTTATGGATATGCTCACAGGCGAACAGGTCAGACGCGTTGTGGGGGTCCTCTATTTTTTATGGATGGCCAGAAACGAGGCGGTCTGGGAACATGCGGTACGGAGGCCGGAGGTAGTGTGGCGCTGTGCAGTGGCGGGAGAAGCGAGCTACACGGCACTCCATTCTCGTCCAGTAGCGGCACTGCCAGGCGTGGTGCAGGCTGTGGCAGCCGGGCGGCCGACATGCCACGTCGACGCCGGATACGATCCGAGAACTGGAAATGCAACCTATGGGGCGGTCTTACTCGATCCGAATGGTTTGTTCAAAGCAGCGGAAAATGGAAAGCTCCCGGGGTGTTTAACCCCTCTTATGGCAGAAGCACTAGCATGCAAGGAAGCCTTGTCATGGCTTAAAGACCGAAACGAGAACGAGGTGGATATTCTTACGGATTGTCTTGTCTTAAGAAATGCGGTTCATGCAGTTACTACACCGAACTTATCTTATGTTGGAATTGTGATTGAGCAGTGCAGGACAGCTATTAGTAGTTTCGTTCATTGTTCGCTTAGTTTTGTTCCGAGAACTTTAAATTTACATGCGCATACTCTTGCTAGTTTAGCCTATGATCAAGAACATTCTATGTACTGGGATTTAATCCCTCCTGACTCTATCATTCGTTTTCTAAATTAATATACTGGTACGCCATATTTCAAAAAAGTGATTAAAATTAGTTTTTGTTTTAAGTGATTAAAATTTAAATTAAGTAATGATGTTGGGATTCTTGAATGGGCTCGACTTGATTGTTGGGCTACAGTATTGTGTTTCGGGCTGAGAAGGAAGAACTGAGTCACAAACATAGCATGGCTTGGCCAAGAATTAATGAGATAGATTCTTACTTCGCTTGAGAGTAGGGCAAATATGTTTTTTTGCTCAGTTTTTTAGGAAGAAAAAATTAAGTGTGTTGTTTTTACATAAATGGGAGGTGGAGTTTTTTGGTGATTTTTTTCATACAAAATGAAAACTTTTATAGGGTCCACTGGATGAGAGAAGGAAACACGTAGACTACCCTTCTTTATTTGTGTGCCGTTATGACCTGCTTTTCTTTTTCTTCTTCTTCTTTTTTTCAGTTACTGTTTTTTTTTTTTTTCCTCTTTCTTTCTCTCTCCTTCATGTATATGAAAAAAAAAAAAAAAAAAAAAAAAAAAAAAAAAAACCAACAAAAAATTCATACTATGGACTTGCTCTTAGACTATCTTCATCAGTTTTAAAACTTTGTCAAGTTTTTTGCCAAGTGACAGAGAAATGGAGGAAGAAAATGGAAAAAATATTAAAAATAAAACAGAGGAAAAACAAAACATTAAACCACGGGCACATTTTTTTTAAAAAAAAAAGGATTTACAAGAATCATAAAAAAATTCTTCTTTCTAAAATAACCACGTCATCTAAAAAGTTCGAAAAGTCTTAACTTTGTCATTACTCATTATTGATGATGCTCTTAACTTGTCTCAAAAGGATTAGGAGTACTAAATTATTAGATCTATCTAGGATACTCTCTTATAATTAGGCATCATACTCAGGGGCGGACCTATAGCGGGGGCAGCTGCCCCCACTCACCCCACCCCCCTAATATATAACCCTTGTATGTATATATGTATGTATATATAGTACAAGGTTTCAGTATAAGTAGATGAAAACAGCTAGTATCAACAAAGTGAAGTTAGCCTAGATGGTAGAATGTGCATATAAGTTTATAGAAGGTTACGGGTTCAATTCTGGCATATAATTTAAATGTATATTTTTTGACAATCTGAATAATAGTGGCTTAAACATAGTTAAACTCTCAAAATATATGTATATACTTTATAATACTTTCAAAATATATGTATATAGTTTATAATACTTTCAAAATATATGTATATAGTTTTATATTAATAATAAGATAATGTGTTTTCTATTATTAATAAAATGTGTAATTTATAATGTGTTTTCTGTTAGAATTATTTTATCAAATTAATTATGTTTTATATTTTGTTATAAATATTTTTTATTTTATTTTTCGTTCATATCTAACAATATTTATGGTTAACTTCAGATATGTAATTTATAATGTGTTTTCTATTGATAATAAAATGTGTCATTTATAATGTGTTTTCTATTAGAATTTTTATCAAATTAATTATGTTTCATATTTTGTTATACATGTTTTTTTTTTCGCCCATATCTAACCATATTTATGATTAATTTTTTAACTATTTCATCTTTTTTAAACTATCCCTTTTGTTCTAATGTTTCGCCCCCACTAAACAAAATTTCTGGGTCCACCACTGATCATACTCCGTAATTTTGTAACTCATAATCTATTGATGATTTCCCATAATAATGATTTCATCTCTAATTCTTAATGATATTTTTATGAGATCCTATATTTTGAACTCAATTGTTATACCATGGACCAAAGCTCACCTTGCATTGTGGATCCTGATCAAAAAATTATATTATTTACAGTTAATATATTTATGTGTTTTCAGTTAATAAATTATGTGTATATGAATAAATTGAAAGCACATTTAACTACATGCACATAATATAATATGTTAACTTAACTGCAAATACATCATATATTTACTGCATACACATAATTTGAATGTTATTTTTGATCAAGGTCCGCAATACAAGAAAAAAAATTGAATTCCATAGTATATGACATAATTTACCTTTTGAACTAATTTGCCAATTTTTAATTTTTATAGTTAAAAAAAATTGAATTCCATCAAATCAACAATTAATATTAATTTAATCATAGTTTAAAAAGAAACGTTTCAAATGGTTCCAATATAACTATGCATATGATTCCAGTCGTTTGTTTATGTGGATTTTGATTACATCAGTGATACGAAGATAATGATACTACGCATCATGGCGAATAAACTACTGGCCCTAAACCATTGGTCTGCACCGCCCCCTCCACGAAACCAAATAAATAAAATAAAAATGAAAAAATACAATAAAAATATCAAGAAACTCCACATGAATAGTCTTTAGAAAATTATAATTTTTTTCTTTTAAGTTATTAGGTAAGTATTATTTTTATTCTTAGGTTTTTACCGTGTTCATTTTTCATCATTAACTTTTCATCCATGTTCTTATTTTTGCCCATAGTTCTTGTATAATTGTTATTTTTGTTCATAATTCTCATATAATATCTTCTATCAACATATATTATTTTTACTCTAATAAGATATTTTCATTGGTTACAATTCTCCAAATTAACATTGCAAAACTTTAATCTAAAACTTGAGGACAAAGTAATTGAATTTCCTAATATTTTAGACCTATTGAAGTGTAAAATGTTGTGAAACTTAACTGCTTTGTCTTCGATCAAATTTTCATATTAAAAGAGTGTCAAGTGTTAAGGAATATGATAATGCTTCGTCCTCAAATTTTTATAATAAAAATTCGCAATGCAAATGTGAAGAGTTGCAATAACTAATTAAAATATTTTATAGTAAAAAAAATTCCGATAGAAGGTATTGTCCAATAATTACAAACAAAAATAACAATTACCCAAAAATTAGGGATGAGAAAGAGTAACTTGGATAAAAAAAAGTTTAAGAATGAAATACAACAAACTATGGATGAAGATAATAATTACCTAATAACTTAATGAAGAAAATTACAAATTTTCCATATTTTTTTTATACATTATATATGGTTGAAATAACAGTGAAAAATGGCACACCTCAATCTTATAGTATGAAAATAGACTTTTTCTTTAATTCATTGAGTGGACAAAATTTTGAATTTTTATACGATAATTAGTTGGCCTACCACAGAGCATTGACAATTATATTTGTGTGCTTGTAAATGAACCTATATGCAAATGTATTTAGAACACGATATCAAACTTAGGGTAATCATGGTGCCAGCTTTCATAGACTTATCTTATTATATTCGGAGTAATTTTTATTTTTTTATCCAATGACAGGAAAAGCTGTATATCAAATTAAAGTATGGATTTGTTTTTTCGAGTGGTTGGAGCATGATTTTTATATCGAGTTAATTCCAGCAATGGTTCTTCGACTATAGTGATTTTTCAAAATTAGTCCCCGACTTTTAATTTGGACACTTTAGGTCCCTTGACTTTCAATTTCTTTTCAATTGAGGTCCTTTCGTTAGAATACGGTGCATTAGACTTTAAATGAAGGGGTAAACTCGTCCTTTCACCTGCCTATGTATTATTCTTCGTATTTCTCCCTTCGTATTTCGCTGTTATACCTTGTAAACATCTCAATAATAGAGGAACGCACACACGAGTAGTCAGCAAATGGGGAACGACGAGGAACATTTTAGGGTTTCGACTAAGATTATCTTCATATATATCGCGTATACAATGGAGAAATACTAAGAATAATACATAGGCAGGTGAAATGATGAGTTTACCTTTTCATTTAAAATTCAATTAACCGTATTCTGACGAAAGGACCTCAATTGGAAAGAAATTGAAAGTCAAGGGACCTAAAGTGTCCAAATTAAAAGTCAATGACTAATTTTGGAAAATCAATATAGTCAGAGGACCATTGCTGGAATTAACTTTTTTTATATCTAAATGCCATGAATTTGATTCATGGTAATATTCTTTTGGTCAAACTTATTACACGAGATATTCTTAGTGCAATTTGTAAGATATTACACAACAACAAAGTTTACCTAATGTTGTGAATTTTCCTGGTCATAAAAAAAAAAAGTATGTAATTGTTTTATTAGTTTATTTATTGAAACAATAAATTAAAATAATTTATGAAAACATTGTCGGGTGTCTTTTTTTTTTTTTTTGTTAGACCACGAGGTGTCCTGGGCAGGCCCTAACGGTAGGAGGTACCTTTAAACTCGTACCATATCATACTAATCTCTGTTGTCCTAAGTAGACTCTAATTGTCGAGTCTGTATTAATTACTATATTGTACATGTTTTCTTTTTTAAATGAAAAAAGAAATGTCAACTATTATGATGTGATGACGTCTTTGTTATCATTTTAAATGGGTAGTTATCTAATTGAACATTGGTGATGTTGTATTAAATGATTAAAAAAGAAAAGAATGATCTTTTCAAAATTAGTCTCGTATTTGTTTATTTATTTATTTTTGTATGGTGGCACCAAAGTAGGAGGGATCCAAGCCTTTTATTATCATTATTTAACTTTAGATTTTTCAAACCTAACACTGTCATTATTTGACTATGTTTATAGTACTCATCAAATAAATTGTTATAAAAAGTTGTACAATAATAATTACCACTATACATTATACAATATATAACATTTGACTCAAACTTGATACCTAGTTTCAAAAACTAGTTGTCAACTTGTTTGCATTTTTGTGGGGCAATATTTTGCATTCTGTGTTAGTATGATTGAATACTGAATTGGAGGTAAAAAATGAAAGATTATATTTTGAAAATTTTGATTCAGAGTGCATAATGGTGATGAAGTGATGTTGCAGGAATAAGAATGTGTGAAGTGATGGAGCAGAAATAGAAATGTATGTGTGGATTGTGTGCTTGTGTTCAAATGAGAACGTACCACCCCTTAGGTGAAAGCATGCGAATTACTGCATAAATACACGCAATCTGCTACATTAATACTCTAGGTGCGTAGATTGTGTGCATTCATGTAATAAATTGTATGCATTCATGTAGGAATCCCACGTAAAAACCAAATTTTCAGTAATAAAAACAAATGATGAAAAACTTCTTCTCCCATTTGTGAAAAAATCATACTCATTGTTGATTTCGTGACCATCGAAGCACTCAGCCGGTGGGCCAACACTACCCTTCTCGGGCCTTTTATACACGGTAGGAAGACTGAAACGCTCAGCATATCATTAATGCCATAAATGACGATATAAATGCTTTAAATGTCATAAATGCCTTTAATCATGAGAAGTTATGCAAGCTCCCCGTTTCCTTCGCAACGAACCGTCTCCCAGCCCTTCTACCCGTCTGAACTCTCCAACATCTCGACTTAACCTAACTGCCCAGCTAATTGAGTCACGCAACCCCTTCAGGTAGACTGGCTAACGCTCTCATCCGGCACACGGAGGGTGCCTCTCAAAGGAATGGGAATACCCACAAATACAAGTAGCTATTATGCCTCCACCGAACCTCGAACCCACCACCTCCTACATAGGATGCAACTTATACCATTGAACCACAAAGTCCTGATACTTGTCTTCTTTTTACTACACTTTGATCAATTCCCTCGTCTAATATCTCCATTTACACCGCCCGCCAACGTTATCTTCCGAACTCGTGTCCATATCCCATCACTCATATTTATTTTATCTGCAAAAATCATCTAAAAAACCCCTAATGGGATTGCTCACTAATTGCCAACAAGCAAACACCGTGTAAGTCCAACCATCCAAACAATAAGACTCCCCACAAATTGCAGTATTCCAGTGTCTTGTTAGTATGTAGCCCCGGTCCCCACCACCATCAAACTTGCGCGTATTTGACCCAGTAAGCTCTATTGACTTTTCACACCAAAACGCAAAGAAACCGCACTTAAACTCACCCAATTCCCAATCCTTCCATTCATCCCCATTTCCCTGTTTCACCCCATCTTTTGAGGTATCTATCCTCCGTTTCTTCCATGGCTAGAAGGGTTTTGGATGATGATGAAGACCACCCAGCATATAAAGTGTACAAATGTTCCGATTGTTCACCTTCTGCTTCAGATTGTTCCCAAGAGTGTACCCTGATAATTCCTGCTTCTCCTTATTCTCCTCCTCCTGGTGTGAAATATCACATGCCCGCATATTTCATCTTCATGCTATGTCTACTCGGCGCCCTTTTCGTCATCCTCAGCTACGTCACCATCCTTAAACGGTTAAGCCTGAGGAATTCCCGGAGGAGGACGACGGCTTCTCCTCCTCCGGTGGAGGAATCCCGGCGGGATTTTATCGACGGGGAGCAGACCCAGCAGGTGGATCACCCGATTTGGTATATCAGAACCGTCGGCCTCCCGGACGCCGTTATCGAGTCTATATCTGTTTTTAAGTATAAAAGAGAGGAGGGTTTAACGGAAGGCACGGATTGCTCCGTTTGCTTAACGGAATTTCAAGAAGACGAGAGGCTCCGCCTGTTGCCTAAATGTAGCCACGCTTTTCACGTCCCCTGCATCGACACTTGGCTAAGGTCACACAAGAACTGCCCACTGTGTCGCGCGCCCATAATCACCGAAACAACAAACGTCGTCGATGTCGAACAAGCAAACAACGTTGTCGCGCTCGCCGATCAAGAAACACCCCATCAAGAAAATGAAGAGGTGAGCCCAGAAATCAGGCCCCCAATTGAAGCAAGAAATCACAGAGTTGTTGTGGACGACGAGAATGAGAATTTTCAGCCACCCAGAAGATCAGTGTCGATGGATTCCTCTTCGGCTTCAATGATTCGCCTCTCAGCAGCGGAGATTGAAGCTGCGAAGAGGAATTTCGAGATTGGTTCCTCGAAGCCATCTTCTTCTTCTTCTTCTGCAAGTAGAAGTTCTCGCTGGTACAGCGCAATGAAGAGTTCTTCATTCGGGCGGTCCCTGCAGAAAGTTCCGATTGGTATGAAGAGATCATCCTCAACTTCTAGTGGGAAGTGTTCTTTGCCAACTACAAATAGCAGAAGCCAAGATTTTTGAATTTTGAGGGGATTAATGGAAGCACCTATTGTAAAATTGCAATTTGTATATCAAATCCAACTGGTTTCAGCAGGCTAACACGCAGAGATTTATTGTAAGCAATGAATTTGAGGCTCTCTGAATCTTGAATGCTTTTTTTAATAAGAAGTTACAGTGAAGCATACACTTCCATTAACTGATGAAATTGGTCTTTTGTTTCCCTTTCCATTGCATTGTCCGTATTTTATGCAGTAATTTTTGGTTTTTATTCTACTGTTCTTTGCTATGCTCTGTTCTCTATGCAATATGAATTGACATCAAAGTCACAAAAAGATTTTTCAAGAAACGTTACAAGTCATGGCCATTCTACTGACGTTTCCATCGTTTTTTGTTTTTCCCTGAATTCGATGTATCATAGCTGAGTTTATGAATAAGGAAAATGACATAAAGCAGCAATTTTTCTCGCAGGAAAATACTGGGAAAGTTCATCACTTAAAATCGACATTTTTTGTTATTTTGTGCTCCCTAGACAAAATTCAACTCGCCTGGATCTTGGAGTCCAATCATTATACTATAGACCATGGTTAAGAATGTGAATTACTTATTTTTAATATATTTAATACATTAAATGTTATTTTTTGTGTATTAAAGGTTTATTATTTAGTATACTGTCAAATAATAAATTGTCAGTATACAAACAATATCAAATAATAAACCTTCTATAATATAAATTGTGTTTTTAAGTTTTGGGACTTTTTGAGTTTAGTATAGGAAAGGAGGCTTGTTTGGGCCACAGAGATATCTAGGCCCAGCGTGAAATCCATGATGTAAAGCCCAATTTTTAATCTGAAAACACAAGCGAATAGACTGAATTAGTGCAACTCCAATTGTTATCAATAGTTATGCTGTGCAACCGAATGCACCATGAGCATGGTGCATACGATACAAAATGACGTCATTCAGGTTCGATTCTCGGCAATAGTATTATTGTGGATATATAGTTATGAATTTCTGGATATATAGTTATGAATTTATGGATATTTAGTTCATTCATTGTAGATATTTACTTCATTCATTCACTGTGGATATATAGTTATGAATTTATGGCTATATAGTTATGAATTTCTGGATATATAGTTATGAATTTATGGATATTTAGTTCATTCATTGTGGATATTTAGTTCAATCATTGTGGATATTTACTTCATTCATTCACTGTGGATATATAGTTGTGGATTTTTACTTCATTCATTCACTGTGGATATATAGTTATGAATTTGTGGATATATAGTTATGAATTTATGGATATATAGTTATGAATTTATGGATATTGATACTGCTAATTATACGTAAGCAATATGTAATAACACGAGACCAATTAAAGCAAGTAAATGACTTTATTGATCACGATAGAGGCCCTAAGTACAATCTACTTGGTTGCTCTGAGTACCGACTGACTGCGGTCGGGATTCTCTAACAACAACCTATCGATCGTCCAAAAGTCCCCTACACTGTAGCTACTGTGGGTATTTATAGCCGCCGTGCCGGGGACAGGATTCCGGCCGCTCGGCATGTCTTCCACGTAGCCACCACGTGTCACCCTCCCGGGTGCCCTGTCTGTCATCATGAAGAGCCGCCACGCGTCCTTTCGCGTCCTTTTGCCAGCTCTCTCGTCAAAGGGCTACCGGTCGGTGATCGACACCAGCGTTCGGGCAACTTCCGGCCGTTCCCGACCGGGGTCTTCATGAAAAAGCCCGACCTGCTACCTGCAAAGATCAGAAGAAAAAGACAAAGGCAAAGTCGGTCGTGGTGGAGCTTATGTCGGTCGGGACATTCCCTACCAGATATATAAAAATGCTATTGCCAGGAATCGAACCTGATTTCTTCTTTAAGTGGGACGCGCGTTTTTTAACCAAAACGACGTCGTTTTGCATCGAATGCACCATGCGCATGGTGCATTCGGTTGCACATCATAATTTGCGAATTGTTATACCATGGACTAGGGTCCATTCTTGGTTTTAAATTGTGTATTTTTATTATTATTATTTTTGTATATTTTTAGTATTGAAATTGTGAACTTTTAGAATATAAATTGTGTTTTTAAATTTTAAAAATTTATATATAAATATAGGGTCATTACAAATTATAAATTTTTAAAAGGTAAATTGTGAATATTTAGTATATGTCATATTCTATTATTTCTACATCAAGATTCTTATTGGTTGTAATAGTAAACTAAGTAATTAAAGTGTACAAATAAAGAGTTTTAGCACTAAGATAAGTATGTGAGATTTAGTTTTTAGATTATTATTTTTATGCATAGTTTTTAGATTATTACTTTGCTTAAATTGCAACTAAGATGACACTAATAGCTAAGCATCTTATGCTCATATGGTATGTAATGACTTTTCTTATGTGGGATGTCATGAGATTGAATTTCAATGGAGGTGTTGTTGACTTTTTGTGCTTCATTAATTTGAGAAAATATGTTTGAACAGATATTACAATGTAATAAAGTCAGCATTCAAAAAAAAAAAAAAAAAGATGGTAAGAAGATCAGACTCTTTGTTATTAATTGTTAAATTATACATTTGAGTTAATACCCAAAATCGTCCTCGACTATAGTGGTTTTTCTCAATTTCGTCATAAACGACTTTAGTGACCTAATATCGTCCTAGACTTTTGTGTTTCGCTCAATTTAGTCCCAGACTTTTGTGTTTTTGCTCAATTTAGTCCCTCATTTGTTATTCTGTCCATTTGGTGTTAAATAAATAGACAATTCAGTAATTTTAATATTGGCATCTCTTTACTCATAGACATGTGAACTGCGAAATTCTTTTTTTTTTTACGAATTACTCCCAGAATTACTCCTAAAACTGCGAATATAAAATTTGATTTGCAGGTCCGGGAGTAATTCTGGGTGTAATTCGTACAAGAAAGAGGAATTTCGCACTTCATAAGTTGAAAGTAAAGAGAGATCAATATTGACATTACTGAATTGTCCCTTTATTTAACATCAATTTGACGGAATAACAAATGGAGGACTAAATTGAGCGAAACACAAAAGTCTGGGACGATATTAGGTCACCAAAGTCGTTTATGACGAAATTGAGAAAAACCACTATAGTCGAGGACGATTTTGGGTATTAACTCTATTCTAAACTGATTAATCTCCTCATCTATGAACGCTTAATCCTAGCACCACCCAAAATCCAACAAATACAAATTTCATATAAGTAGTCATAGGATGGGTACAAAGTCATGCACCTTATGCTGCAAATTTATGCACATTAAGATGCAAAGCTGCAAATTTATGACCTTAAGGTGTAAATTTATGATCCTAAAATTTTAATACAGAAAGAATACCAGAGCTTTGATCTCACGCGAAGAAGGCCTCAGGTGCCAATGTAAAGAGAAATCTAAGCCTTTGATCTGTCCAGATCAACGGTTCTAAAAAAAAAAAGAGCGCTTCTAATCTGCACAACACTATCTTCTCCCGTAAACCATCTCTGATCTACTATCTTTGCATTTTGATCAAATCATGAAAGGCACAAAATTGTATCCTGGAGGGCACAACAGTGTACACTGGAAAGCACAACAATGTGCTCTGAAAGGCAAAACAATATGCACTTCGAAGGTACAACAATGTGCTTTGGAAGACTCAGCAATATGCTCTAGAAGGCTCAACAATGTGTACTCTAAGACAAAACAATATGCGCTTCAAAGGCACAACAATGTGCTCTGGAAGGCACAACAATATGCTCTGAAAGGCTCAACAATGTACTTTTGAAGGTCAGCAATGCACTGGAAGACACATCAGTCTGCTCTGAAAGGCACACCATTGTGCTTTGAAGGTTACAACATTGTGTTCTGCAAGAAAAAAAAAATGCTTTGAAAGTTTTTTTTTTTTTTTTTAAAATATTGACTTATTTACACAAAATTACCATAATATCATCACTTTTTTTTTTTTTTTTTTAAATAGCTTCATTCTAAACCCTTGATCTGGACTGGACATTTTTCACCTAAAAAAAGTTTTTCACCTAATCCATTATATATATATATATATGTGTGTGTGTGTGTGTGTGTGAAAATTTTTTCGTTGCATCAATTATTGAAATTGTGCAGTGAATCTTCAGTCTTCGCTAAAGGCTTCTTGTACTTCCTTTAATTTAGCAAATGTCCTTGATAGAAAATTTTCAGAGTAAATATATAGTCACACACAGAGATATGGTAAACCTGATTTAGAAGAATTTCTTTACCATCCTATTATCTGTCTATATGTTTCTATTACAACTATCCCAATCTCCATGCAGATAAAATTGAATCCTACGCCATACTTGTTAATTGTTAGAGCATCCATATAAGTTGGAGATATTAGGGGGAGAATGTAAGAATGAGTAGGAAAGAGAATAATGTGGGAAGGGAGGGAAAAAAAAAAATCAAAACTGATTTTATAAAAAAAATATATAAAAAATAAGCATGTCATTTCTCTATTGGTTCTCTTTCCTCCCTCATTAATTTTTTTTCTTGGGCAGAGTAATATCCCAACATTTGCAGATGCTCCCCACCCCTTCTCTCTCTTGATTCTCTCTCTGCCACTATGACATTTTGGCCTCAAAAGTAGTGAATTCTCCCCCATTTCTCCTCTGATGTAGATGCTCTTACTAAATTTAAGTTATTCTACATATCATTCCCAAACATTTTAAAGTTTGAAACTTAATTAAAACCTTGGTACGGGACCATAGACCATTCACTTATTATTATTATTACTTCGTAGTGTTATTATTATTATTATTAGTATTATAGTTTTTAAATTTTCAGTTAATTGTATTGAGAAAGCTGGTAATTACTAAGGTATGGTAAATATAACCTCGAAAATTTAAACTGAAAAAGCTTTTCTCAGGCTTTGTTGAAAGGGAAGCTGATTTCTGTCAAAAGTGAATCGTCTTTTTGACTTGCAGAATGATCTAGAAAGAGGGCAAAGTAATTTTCCAAGACAGAACATTAATTGATTGAGGCAATAATTAATACAAAGACAAAACATTCCAAAACTAGATTATACTCGTATTATATTAATGCTAATAAACATTACAGATGATTATGAGATGAGATCAATTTAAAGCATAAAGTAGGGTTGATTTGACAATGCGATCGACCAAGAATAATTTTACAATTTTTAGAATATTCTTTTTAATTTTATATATTTCTTCTCTTTCTGGGTCCCCATGTTGCAGTGGGACTTCTGAGATCATTACTGGTTCTCTTG